TTTTAGAAAATACATCGAAGCACAGTGCCTTGAGGGACTGTGGGCGAAGTAGGCAGCGAGATACACATGTATTGTTTTAAACACCGCAGAAAATCATGCACTCAACGCAGCCATCTTGGTTACCTCAATCAGAATTCCCCCATGTCACCCAGCATGCATCGACTGCGATATCGCAACGTGCACTGTGTCGCCATGGGCGACGGTCTTAGGTACAAGGCACTCTATGAATAAGGTATTTTCAGAGGTCGAAGTTCGTTTTTTATAAGCAGTCTCGTCTGCAGATGAATAGCCGTAAATAATCAGCGCGAGTCCATTTAATTTAATTTACTGTTTTGATACTTCGTGTCACTGGAAATTGAATAAGAAAAACTGCAAATAACCGATGTGCAGCAAATCGAAATAAATTTTCATGGCGTACGCTGCATTTGTTTTTCCGGATTTTGCGATGCCGCACTCCTGAATGTTGCGCAACAGTAGTAAAGGCTTGAACACAGTAGCGTAAGTCTCAAGTGCAACTTTGTATCAACAAATGTTCGTCTTTTGATACTTATTAGCTGTCAGAGACACATATCAATTGTCCAGCCCAATGAAAAGTCTGATTCACGTCCTCTGCTCAACTTGCGACTCGGGCATAACAGTTTATCAAAACAAAACAATTTATTCAGCACGCTGTTCACCGATATACAAGAGTGTTTTTTTAGGCAAGGCACACGGTAAAATGACTACTGTACACCAATAAATCGACACATTTTAGAGACAACTATCTAGTCTTCAAAAAGCAATGTAAACTCTGTCAATCCTAAAAATAAACAACAGCTTGAATGAGGTGTGAATGAGATCGGTTCGAACTGCAGTTTTTATGCAAATTCGTGCGGTCGTCCTGAACCGCACTGTCTATTGTTTAAACTTACGAACCGCAAAACTGGGTTTTGTTCGGGCGGTTTAGGGCGGTTTGGGTTTTCGTAGGTTTGACCCGCATGTTTGAATATGAGATCACCCCTAATCGATATTCTTACATTCTTCAATAACAAAACAATGGAGTGACTTGGACACATTTTCACCAACATTTTTAGCGATACAAAAGCCAACCACACCAAAACTTAACTTAACCAAGACTATTTATTACTATGTTTGAAAAAAGATTGTGCAAAAATATAGTTAACCTGGCTACAAGAAAGTTTTAATGAAGACAAGAACGACAGATGTGGTTACCAATATAACCTCACCAATGCAATATTACAGGCAAAGTAAAAATAAAAAAAAATCGCTGAAAATGACACAATTTCTATTGATACGTTTTTAAAAGCAAACTTTTATATCGCAATTACATGAAAATGGACACAATTTCATGCAATAACCTATTTAAATATGTCAACTGAAGTTGGTGTGGTTAGAATAATGGTAGAAAACATCAGTAGAGTGGTGTTACAGTTTTTGCAAACAAGTGAAAATAAAACCCAGCTAATGAGCCCTGTACAAGAGATTTTACTGATATTGCCGCAAGAGGGCGCTGTTGCACTCACCTATCAATGAACTGAGTAAGCCTGATGTACGCAATACTGGCTGCATCTTCTCCTAATAGGTGTACATGAGGATTGAGAATCGTTGTGTTTCTGGCTCGACTGTTCTTTGACAGAACTACCGAAAAAAAATCACAGTTATATTATCATCAAATCGAAGCAAGTTTTAAAAGGTGGTGGTCATTTTGTAAGAGACAAATATCCATGAATTTCGCAAGTCAGAGAAGATCGTGAAACATTAACAAGTCACAATGACCTTCGCAAACTTCATAATCAGAAATGGTCTTAAACCGTACAATCAGTATTCAGTTCAGTATATATGCTGTATTGGTAGGTAACTTGTACGCCAAAGTCATTCAAAGATGTTTAAAACTAAATTGCCGAAAGATTTATTGGAGTAATACACCAGGTTTCATAAAGGTGTGAATTTGTTTATGTATACTATTTAGAATGTTTATAAATTTCAAATTGTAATTGAAAACAAAGTGAGTAAACTGAAGCCTTAACAAATGAAATCTACGTGTATATAACTATCCTGTGGTCAGGAATCCTTTAACCTCTCTTTTGACACTGCCTCGCTTTCAGAAGTTATTGTTCAGTGCCCAATGATAATCAGACTACTTGCACTTTACTGTAATTTCAAGAATTTTAAATATATTTGATTAGATCTATTTTGCAGTATGGGGTAATTGGCCAATGAATGAAGAAACCTTGCAAAGACTCATGGGTAATGTGCATTACAAAATGGTTCCTGCAGCCAATGAAAGCAAGGAACTTTCAGGATAAATATTTTATATTTATTATTTTATAAACATTTATAAATATTCATAAAACCAAAATTCACACATTCATGAAACGCGGAGCAGGCAATTGTGCCAATATTTTATAGTGAAAAGTTTCAGTGAAAAAGGAACAAATAACCATTATGATTGCTATACTCCACATAATTTTTCCCAACAATTTCATTTTTAAAAAGCTGAATAATATTCGAAAAATACACAGCTAAAGTGAATGTGATGAATGTTAATGTAAGGAAGAGTATGGAACACTAAATATTTACTTACCATTCTCAAAATAAAACCTATGGAATTCCATGCCTTCTACAAGGTTACCCATTGCTTCAGGTTCAAAGCAGGTCATATGGGGATCACAAATCTTACTGAAAAAAATATATGTGAATAAGGCTATGAAAACAGTAAATGAAACAGCCATGACATGGTCGGGCGGTTACCATGTGATAGCCATGACATGGTCGGGCGGTTACCATGTGATAGCCATGACATGGTCGGGCGGTTACCATGTGATAGCCATGACATGGTCGGGCGGTTACCATGTGATAGCCATGACATGGTCGGGCGGTTACCATGTGATAGCCATGACATGGTCGGGCGGTTACCATGTGATAGCCATGACATGGTCGGGCGGTTACCATGTGATAGCCATGACATGGTCGGGCGGTTACCATGTGATAGCCATGACATGGTCGGGCGGTTACCATGTGATAGCCATGACATGGTCGGGCGGTTACCATGTGATAGCCATGACATGGTCGGGCGGTTACCATGTGATAGCCATGACACAATCAGGTGGTTACCATGTGATAGCCATGACACAATCAGGTGGTTACCATGTGATAGCCATGACACAATCAGGTGGTTACCATGTGATAGCCATGAGACAATCAGGTGGTTACCATGTGATAGCCATGACACAATCAGGATGGTTACCATGTGATAGCCATGACACAATCAGGCGGTTACCATGTGATAGCCATGACACAATCAGGCGGTTACCATGTGATAGCCATGACACAATCAGGTGGTTACCATGTGATAGCCATGGAACAATCAGGTGGTTACCATGTGATAGCCATGGAACAATCAGGTGGTTACCATGTGTGGTGGTGTCAGTTACAATTGTACTTACGTGTAAGCTTCATAATCACCATTAGTAATTGCATCAAGCAGAGATTCCGTTATCTTGATAATTTCTTGTTTGCGAGCTGAAACATACCACACCAAGATTAAAATACATTATAATATTGCAATTGCATGAGTTCTCAATCTGTTGAGCAGTCAATTATACACCAATGATACAAGCAGATAGAATCCCACCAAACAATTACTGACACCATATTATGTTGAGATTCCTGTATTTTTCTAACAGTTCCAAAAAAACATTTATGGGAAAACACATATTGAGAATAGCTTTGTGTGAAAGCGATTTATAGATGGATAGAAAGAAAAGAAATCGTTGTAGTGAATGAGTAACTATGATAAAAAAAAACAGAGTCAGATACGTACATGTTATACCAAGTCAAGGATATCTTACATTATACACATGATTCAATTATCTTGAATTCCCTGATGTCTGATTTGTCATTTTGAATTTTCTGATGTCTGATTCAGCATTTTTAATTATCTGATGTCTGACTAGGTGTTTTGAATTATTTGATGTCTGACTAGGTGTTTTGAATTCTCTGATGTATAGTTGAATTGTTTTGAATTCTCAGATGTTTGATTTGGCATTTTAAATTCTCTGATGTCTGACGAGGTGTTATGAATTCCCTGATGTCTGAATAGATGTTTTGAATTCTCTGATGTATAGGTTAATTGTTTTGAATTCCCTGATGTATAGTTGAAATGTTTTGAATTCTCTGATGTCTGACTAAATGTTTTGAATTATCTGATGTCTGACTAGGTCTTTTGAATTATCTGATGTATAGTTGAATTGTTTTGAATTCTCTGTTTGATTTGGTATTTTAAATTCTCTGATGTCTGACGAGGTGTTATGAATTCCCTGATGTCTGAATAGATGTTTTGAATTCTCTGATGTATAGGTTAATTGTTTTAAATTCCCTGATGTATAGTTGAAATGTTTTGAATTCTCTGATGTCTGACTAAATGTTTTGAATTCTCTGATGTCTGACTAGGTGTTTTGAATTCTCTGATGTATAGGTGAATTGTTTTGAATTCCCTGATGTATAGTTGAAATGTTTTGAATTCTCTGATGTCTGACTAAATGTTTTGAATTCTCTGATGTCTGACTAGGTGTTTTGAATTCTCTGATGTATAGGTGAATTGTTTTGAATTCCCTGATGTATAGTTGAAATGTTTTGAATTCTGTGATGTCTGACTAGGTGTTTTGAATTATTTGATGTCTGACTAGGTGTTTTGAATTCTCTGATGTATAGGTGAATTGTTTTGAATTCCCTGATGTATAGTTGAAATGTTTTGAATTCTGTGATGTCTGACTAGGTGTTTTGAATTATTTGATGTCTGACTAGGTGTTTTGAATTCTCTGATGTATAGTTGAATTGTTTTGAATTCTCGGATGTTTGATTTGGCATTTTAAATTCTTTGATGTCTGACGAGGTGTTACGAATTCCCTGATGTCTGAATAGATGTTTTGAATTCTCTGATGTATAGGTGAATTGTTTTGAATTCCCTGATGTATAGTTGAAATGTTTTGAATTCTCTGATGTCTGACTAAATGTTATGAATTCCCTGATGTCTGAATAGATGTTTTGAATTCTCTGATGTATAGATGAATTGTTTTGAATTCCCTGATGTATAGTTGAATTGTTTTGAATTCTCTGATTTGGCATTTTAAATTCTCTGTCTGACGAGGTGTTATGAATTCCCTGATGTCTGAATACATGTTTTGAATTCTCTGATGTTAAACGCTTTTGTTTTAAGTTCTCTAACTACATTGTTTTAAATTTCTTGTTTTTTTGAATTCTGATTGTAAGTTTCTGATATACTGATGTCATATTGGAATGTTTTAATATTTCTGTCTTATTGGGAGATTTGAACTCTTAGTGTTCTTTGAATGGAATTTTTTTTGTCCAAGAGAATGATTTGAAGTCTCTGTGTCTGATAGCATTGATTTGAATGTACTGATGTCTGATTAGACTTTGAATTCTCTGATGTCTGATTAGAAGTTTGAGATATCTTAATGGAAAATTTTAATTTCCAAATAGAATGGATATTTTGGGATGAGTGCATGAATTTTGTTAAGCCCTTTTAGAATATTTTGAATCTCTGATGTTGGATTGATATTTTTTGAATTCTCTGATTTGAATATTCTGAATTCCCCGATGTCTGATTGGAATATTTTGAATTCTCTGATGTCTGATTAGAAGTTTGAGATATCTTAATGGAAAATGTTAATTTCCAAATAGAATGGATATTTTGGGAGTGCATGAATTTTGTTAAGCCCTTTTAGAATATTTTGAATCTCTGATGTTGGATTGATATTTTTTGAATTCTCTGATTGGAATATTTTGAATTCTCTGATGTCTGATTGTGTGTTATCTGATCCCCTATTTAGCTACATTCAAATATTAATATTTTTTATATATGATTGTGATAGAGACCTTTTTCACACCCCACTGTTCACAGTGGAGATAGTGTACAGACAGATGGAGAGAGAAAAAGGAGGAAAGAAAAGCAGAATAAGATGATATGAATAAGATTTTAAGGTTTGATAATAAGCCTTAACACCATAACCACAACTTTTTTCACCAAAATTGTGTGTAAGATTTTTCCAAACTTTTTTGAAAGCTTTTTCTCGTCAATCTTTTGGTGCAATTTTGTTTTTCGAATATTCAGATCAGGCGCACAAACCAAGCATTAAATTTGCCTAAATATTTCGCCCATTTTCAAATATGTTTCTCTAATTTTTTAGATAAATTTGGACCAAATAATCACGATTTATTATAGGCTACTGGGTTAAATTCAAATTTTGGAAAATATATAGAAAAATTTATGTTAATTTTATTTTATAAATGGCGACAAAAGTTGACTTGGGCGATAAAAGTATTAAATCACCACAGCTGTTATGTAGTGAGCGTATACAAATTGTCTTTTACCTGCATCCGCTGTATGTGTTTAATACGATGCAACAACAGTTGCACTAACATCAAATCCTGCCTTACTTAAATAAAATGATTTGTATCATGCCAATTTTGGAATGAATTTATAATGATAAAAAAATTTAAATTTATGGAAGGTATGAGAAGAGAGGAATTATTGAAAGCTGGTTTGAGGGAACCTTAATGAAAATGAAAAGAAGACAAGACTTTTCCTTTTGTTTCGAACAAAGTATGTGTTTTGCCAATGGTGGATTGACCCCAAATGACCCCTGATCATTCCCGATGGTGGATTGCGTCAAATGACCTCTGCTCATTTTCAATTGTTGATTCACCCCAAAAGATCCCTGCTCATTTTCAACTAATTTACATACGGTGAAGGACAATGTTGACATTAGAAAAACGACAAACTTTAGAACAAGATGGCAGCTATTTATTGAAATGAGTATGAGAACATTTTTACTGTTTGATAATATCTATTTATATTTGTTATATTTATTTAAAAACAAGCAGCCTATCGGCTGAGATAGCTCCGCTGTTAGCAATGCACATTTCAAGTAAAGAACTGAAGACATCATTAGACAATGAACAATATGTATAGTATCAAAGCAATCGGACTTACAG